GTATTACCTATAATACCAAAGCATATTTCTAGCTTATTCGGTAAATATTCTAAATATGGTCTCTAATATCTATTATACTTTAAATATTCAATAATTATAACAGTTCGACTCGGCTTTAAAAAATACCTATGCAGTATTTAGACTTGAATGAATAATTGGAATTTATCACCCGTTAGTACATCGATTGTAGTCATTGGATTGTGCATTCATGACTATCTATAATAATTTATATAATATATTGTGACAACATAGTTATGGAAATAATAATTTAATCAAAAATTTGTTAAAACATCGGAGAACTATTATGTTATTATTATTATTGTTGTTGGATTATTATTAAATGTTCAATTATTTTCAGATTTCGTTTTCAAAGGAAAAACATAATACGTACATCAGTCCTTCGTGGAATGAAGGTTTAACGCCATAACGGTTCGCATACACAGTAATTTTTTTTTCTTTTGATCATTTAGTTTTAACTTAACTACTTCAACGTAGAGAATATCCCTTTTTGGCTTAAAATGCAAAAAGCATCCTTGTCAATTTCGACTGTAAGACCTGACTGGTCGGATTCCAAATCGTTAGCCCATAATCCAATGCCGAACGAACCCTTGAGACGATTTACGCAACGCAATCCCAGTTATTTTCCGAAATAAACCCCAATGTCTGTATTAGTCGTGTTTTACAGGATGTATCCTACACATCCTGTTTGTTTGACCTTGTGCTGTTTGATCGCTGTAAACATATAATAAACAGCGAACGATAATACATTTTGTACAATAATGTATTATTASAAAATTATTCTGGTAATAACTAGTATACCTAGTATAATTATAAATACAATTAAATAGGAATTAAACTGACAATTATTATTATTATTATTATTTTTTTTTTTGCGAAATAATGATGCATGTTTATATTTTATTTTATTTTTTTTTGTTTCAACAACATCAGCTAGTGAGGCAAAATTATTATTGTATACTAATGAGAAAACATAAACATATTAATTTAAAGTTCACAAGTAATAATTACAGTTATAATGAAGTATTAAGTAAGTTACGGTCGGAGATTAAGTCAATTATTCAAGTGGCATTATCTCTGTTGACGGTTTTGTTTTTCATACTATGAGGGGATGTTTGGTATTGAGCGTGTGAGTTGATCTTTCTTCGAAAAGGAGGTTTCCCAAAATCGGTGTAGGCGAGTTGATTCCCGAGACCTATTTTATGTATTAGTTGATTCCCGGATCATTAAGAGGGACGTACAAGTTGATTCCTTATTGTTGTATATTAATTATCAATAGATTGCACGAGTAAAGAGTTTATAACCGAAAAGAGTTCGACCGTCACACACAACTCGCTCTTGTCCACCGGGACCTGCACGCGGGCGTGTGTGTTGGTCGAACACAATATTATCAAAGATTATCGTCACTATTATTATCTACGTTTATATATTATAACGCATATTTTATGGGTCATGATAATTGATTTTAGACGGTTAGATAGCAGTTTTTATAGTTGAACATAATCTCTTAGTATTAGGCGTGTTTCAGTATTGTTGCAACCATTATTATTGTGTACATTTTTGAATAAATATGGAATTTATATTGAGCGAAAAGTCCAAACCATTAATACCAATGGATGGATATAAGTTTTGTTTCCATAAAATGCTAGCAAACGATATCCAACGCTGGACTTGTAGCAACAGTAGCTGTAAGTGTTATTTAAAAATCGATTTTAATAATAATATTATAGAAAGCAACACAAATCATAGCCATGACAAAATTGAGGAAAATATTAGTAAGCGGCAAGCGCTGAGCAATTCCTTAAAAAGGAAAGCTGTTGAAAATGTTTTTGCGAAGCCTTCAAAATTAATTCGCAGGGAGTTGAAACACAGAGATATAAGTACTTCAACAAATAATGACTTATCTCTAATACGACATAATATACATCGAGCTCGTTCTACTATTCACCCTTCACTGCCAAAAAGCGCCATGGAAACCACACGCAATTTTAGAATCTATGAACTATAAAACCAATAACAATGAACAGTATTTATATTTGTTAATAATAGCGAAAGTTCTATTATAGGTTTTTCTACTGAACGTAATTTGAATGTTTTATGTGACGTTACAGACATTTATATGGATGGGACTTTTAATGTCTGCCCTAAGTACTTTAATCAACTTTTTACCATTCATGGATTTAAAGATGAGGTATATATACCACTCGTATTTTTTTGTCATCCGACAAACAAAAGACCACTTACGAGCTAGCTTTCAAATATTTGGTTGATCACTGTAGTTTGCAGCACGGTATGAAACTCGCACCTGTTCAAGTATTTATAGATTTTGAGATTGCGATTCATATGGCAGTAGAGAGCATGTGGCCAATATCCAAAATACGAGGGTGCAGATTTCATCTAGCCCAAAATTGGTGGCGGAAAATTCAGAATCTAGGTCTCTCGGCAATTTACAAAGACACTAGTTCAGAAAATGAGACCAGTAATTTTTTGAAATTATTTTTTGCCCTACCCATTTTAAGCCCAATAGAAGTTATCGATTGCTTTACTGACGAGTTAATGGCCATTCGACCAACAGCTGACGAAAGAATTGAAGAATTTATGGACTATGTATTTGATAATTATATTTCCCCAGAAGCAAGTTTTCTACCAAGTATATTGGCTCAATTTTCAACTACTTTAAATAGAACTACAAATAGCTGCGAGAGTTTTCATTCTAAACTCAACCGTTGTTTTTATAGTGGGCACCCAAATATTTACCTATTTATAGATGAGCTGTTTGATGTACAATCATAAACATACATAAAATGCAGGAGTAATGGAACTAAGAAATCTAAAAAACACCAAGAAAAACAAATTTTTTTAAGAGAAGTGATGTCACGGTATACTGGTAATCTCATTACCAGATAACACATAATAATGACCCGGGAATCAACTAAACGGTATTGGTGCAGGTAAACAGGTACCCGGGAATCAACTCGTATGCAGCCCCAAAAATAATATATTATGTTCATTTTTTAATTTTAATTCAAACAAAATATTCTCAAAAACTTACTGTCGACAACGATTTTGTATTTATCAAAATCTTTACTAGTGACTGTACAGCACAATTCTCTGTTCAGCAGCAAATCGTAGACACTTACAGGTGGAAAAAACTCGTCATTTCCCTACTTCGAAGGTAAATTTAAAAAAAGCGCAAGACCACTAGGAATTTATTTCTCATTTGTAACCTAAACGCTTGACTTTAACATCAAATTGTAAACATCACACGGATGCTCATACAAGTCGATTCCAAGTTTCGATAATGTTCACATCAATCACAAACCACATCTYTTAATAACTTTCTTATCGAAGCACTTTGATCGTGTATAAACAAACCCAGTGTCTATACATATAGACATAAATGTTCAAAAACTTGTCAAAAGTTAAATGTTATAAAAAAATAAATTTAAAAAAAAACCATGACAATCAACCATGTAGTGCAATGATTTTACAGCTACCCGACAATAAACGATGATTAACGCTTCGGTATAAATTCGTACTTTTACAATAAACCAAACTATAGGGTTTTATAAAATAATAGATGACTTAATAACAATTATACTTTGTGAGTCCAATGAAAACTTAAACACGATTTTCTAAAATAGCACCAAAACGAGAGCACATATTACTTTACGTTCACTGGGACGGATGATAATAAATTACAGTTAAATTTAAGCCTGACACATCTACAGTTGTTGTAGCTATATTGATACTATAGCTATATRGTGCTTCGAGTCATAAATGCATATATAGCAGGTAAGATGTTGCGTCCTAAAATCTGTAATAATGGCAAAAAATGATCAATCATTTTTCACGTCGTGTGGCGAATCGCTTCTAATGGACTCTCACATATCTGCAGTRATATATCGTATATAAATGGCGATCTCTGTCGATTGCGAAAATAAACAATTACACGTTAAACATGATATACCTCTCAATTGAAATAGTTGACGGTTTGAGGACCAAATACGATTCAATATGTTTTTGTATCAACATTATTGGTATAAACGATATATTGTCGTCTATGTTGAAGCGTCATCATATTGCCAATATTTAAAACGATTTCGTTGCTAAAAAACAATCCACGATCAGCGAAAACAATCTAGAGCAGAACAAAAAAGTACGTTTTGGGGAGTTTGATAACGCCGATAAATTCGAGASAAATATATGATAAAAACGAGAACCATCTTGTTACACAAAAAGCTGTCTTWGAAAAAAAATCTGTGCACACCGTGCATCGAGTGTTACACCGGAATTGCGCGTGCGTTCGACATGATGTGCTCTGCAGTTGAGAAACATACCGCATCATCGACATTATCTATAATATTATTATTATTATTATTATTGTTATTATGTCAAGAACGTATAAACCTTGCCGTGGCTGATTAATATTCAAATATTTAAGCATACGTAATCGTAAAAGTGAGAATTCCACTATTTAGCGCTATGTAGGAAAACACGGTGGCGTGTGCGGTGAGATCGGGAAAGGAATAGGAAATGTGGAAAAACGAGTTTTTCAAAACAAGAAATGAATCACAGAAAAAAAACCACGTGGCTCGTCCGTATACAACTGTCTACAACTACACAGACGTCCAGAATAAATTACCAAATTTAAGATATGTTATTACTGTAATGCGCAACTCGTTCGCTTGATTTTGTGCATTTTAAAGGATTATAGATCCGCYGATGATACATATCGTCCGTAATTTCAATGGTTGTTTGATCGTAAGGATTCGAGTCGCATTCAATCGGTAAACCACGACAAAATATCATATAATTAAAATTGCAGAAAATAAATATTAATCATACAAAAAAAAAATTCGCAAATTAACTGTTACGTAAAAACAACAGTATGAAATTATTTAAACAATTAATATATTTTTAAAAAATTAAAAATTTGTATATCAAACTTTTTTCTCAAAGTATGCCTAAATTATATAACGCTCTCGTTTAATGATTTAGTAAGCTTACATTTTTTCGGGAGAAAATACATTAATTTACTTCATATAGTATTTATTCATGTGATATAGTGAAATATTTTTAAAATGTTTTTTTCTACTCTTTAATCGCATGTATATTCATTATTATTATTATTATTATTTATAATCCTTTAATTTAATGAACAGTGATTATATTTTTATCATTTATATATTCAAACCAATGAAAAACAATTTTGTCAAATGTGACGTTTAATATACAGTTTTAAACCACATTAAGTAATAGGTTTCAAAACATCAAACATCGTTTTCAGACAGTAAATATCATTCACATTTTCCTATTTCAGTTAACTCTATAATTGTATAATTTTCACAAGTTATAGAATAGGCACTTGGTGATAAATATTAAGTTTTATTCAACAATACTAATATACCGTAATAAGTTAATAACAACTAGGTATAATAATTTACAAAATACAAAATAGTTAAATTAAAATGTTTGTTAATTACTTAATTAATTTATTGTTCTTTTAATCGAATAATTTGGCTCAGACATAATGATATTACAATATAAACGAATAAGAAAATGCCATAAGAGTATTATTGAACAATTGCCATACTTATAAATAATAATATATAAAGTTATATAATTATTTATGATGAATTAAATTACAAACTAAACGCTTGTAATTAATATTTGAATCGATTTATCTTAGAAAC